CCCAGCGAGCGACGAAGCAGATTCCCCGATGATAATGATGCCGCCCTTGTCGCCCAGAGAACGGAAGGCGTCCGAGACGGCTGCCGAGCTCGCGGAGACCCGGGCGGCAGCGGCGGCGGCGGCGTTGGCGGCGACCGCATCGGTGGCGCACGGATCGAGCGGCCGTGGCTTCAGCAGCGGCAGCGGCGGCGGCACCAGCAGCGGTAGCGGCGGCGGCGAGCCCCCGGTGGCCGTGCTATCGGCGACGGCGACGGCAGAGGCGCTGGAGGTGGCGAAGAGGGCCGCACAGGCAGCGAGGGACCCCCGCAAGGACCCCGAGTACGCCAAGTTCTTCAACATGCTGGAGACGGGGGTGCCCCGCGAGACTGTGGAGCTGGCCATGCTGATGGAAGGGAAGTATCCGGCCGTCCTCAACACCCCACTGCCGGGCCCGGCGGTGGAGAAGATCACGTCGACGGCGGCCGCCGAGGCGGCGCAGGTGGCGCTCTCCTGGGCGGAGCGAAGCCCCGGGTCTAGCAGGCCGTCCCGGAGGGAGCGGCGACAGACCTCGGCCGCTTCTGCCTCGTCTCTTTCACCACGAGAGCGTCGGAATGCTGCTGCTGCTACCGCCACGACCCTGACTTCTTCTCGTTCGCCGCGGGAGCGTCCGAATGCTACTGCCACGGCCGCCGCCGGCGCCGCTTCTTTGTCGTCTCGTTCCCCGCGAGAGAGACGGAGACCACGGCGTGGCGGTCCCGAGGCCGCCGCCGAGGCGGCCAAGGAGGCCGTGGACGGACTAGTTCCCGCTCGGGAGAACCCCCTGTACGCCGGGTTCTTTGACATGCTGAGCCGGGGGAAGCCGAAGGGGGAGGTGGCGGCGGCGATGGAGTCGGAAGGGGTCGACGCCGCGGTGCTGGACGCCCCCGACGCTCTGTTCCCGCTGCCGTCCCCGAGAAGACAGGGACGACGGCATGCAGCGGCGGCGGCGAACGTAGTAGATGTGGAGGCAGAGCCGGAGCCGGAGCCGGATAGAGCGACCAGCTACGCGGCGGAGGGAGCGGAAGCGGCCGCAGCGGAGGCGTCGAAGGCGATGGAAGAGATCTACGCGCACATCGCCGCCCAGAAGCTGGCGGCGGCGCAGCAGGAGGCGGCGGCAGAGCCGGAGATAGTTGCCGCTGTGGCTGCTCCCCCTAGCGAGGTGGCGGCGAAGGAGCACCCGGATTTCTTCAAGTTTTTCAAGATGCTCGCCATGGGGATGCCCAAGGGGGCGGCGTTGCAGGCCATGGCGAAGGCTGGGGTCGACGCCGCGGTGCTAGAAACCCCGGACGCGCTGCTGCCGCTCTCGGCCGAGCAGCAGGCGGAGCTTGCGGAGCGGCGAGACGCGGCCGCTGCGGCGGCGGCGTTGTCGGCGGAGGCGGCGAGCCAGAGGGGTGGCGAGGGCGGAAAAGGGGCTTCGCCGCCGGCGGGACCGCCGAAGGGCATGGCGCCGGCCAAGGACCACCCGGACTACCGGAGTTACTTTAAGATGCTGAAGATGGGGATCCCTCGAGGGGCCGCGCTGCAGAAGATGGCGAAGGATGGAGTTGATCAGTCGATTCTCGACACGCCGGAGGCGCTGTTTTCGTTGCCGGAGTCAGGAGGCAAAGCGGCGGTGGCAACGGCGGCGACAGCGGCGGCGGGGGCGGCGGGGGCGGGGGCGACGGCGGCGGCGGCGGCGGCGGCGACAGCGGCACCAACCATGGTCGCCGTAAAGGATCATCCGGACTACCAGAAGTATTTCAAGATGCTGAGGATGGGGCTACCACGGGGGGCGGCGCTTCAGAAGATGGCAACAAAGGGCGTGGACCAGTCAATCCTCGACACGCCGGACGCGATGGTTCCTGGACCGTCGGTGGAGGTGGCAGGGAACGGTGCGCCTGACGTAGCTGGAGTGCCGGCGCCGAGCATGGTGGCGGCCAAGGATCACCCGGACTACCAGAAGTACTTCAAGATGTTGAGGATGGGACTGCCGCGGGGGGCGGCGCTTCAGAAGATGGCAACTGAGGGCAAGGACCAGGCGATCCTCGACACGCCGGACGCTATGCTCCCGTTGGCAGAGACTGAGGGTGGAGCGGAAGCGGCAGCGGCAGCGGCAGCGGCAGCGGCAGCGGCAGCATCAGCAACAGCACCGAGCATGGTGGCGGCCAAGGATCACCCGGACTACCAGAAATACTTCAAGATGTTGAGGATGGGACTGCCGCGGGGGGCGGCGCTTCAGAAGATGGCAACTGAGGGCAAGGACCAGGCGATCCTCGACACGCCGGACGCTATGCTCCCGTTGGCAGAGACTGAGGGTGGAGCGGCAGCGGCAGCGGCAACAACAGCACCGAGCATGGTGGCGGCCAAGGATCATCCGGACTACCAGAAATACTTCAAGATGCTCAAGATGGGGCTACCGCGGGGGGCGGCGCTTCAGAAGATGGCAACTGAGGGCAAGGACCAGGCGATCCTCGACACGCCGGACGCTATGCTCCCGTTGGCAGAGACTGAGGGTGGAGCGGCAGCGGCAGCGGCAGCGGCAGCATCAGCAACAGCACCGAGCATGGTGGCGGCCAAGGATCATCCGGACTACCAGAAATACTTCAAGATGCTCAAGATGGGGCTACCGCGGGGGGCGGCGCTTCAGAAGATGGCAACTGAAGGCAAGGACCAGGCGATCCTCGACACGCCGGACGCTATGCTCCCGTTGGCAGAGACTGAGGGTGGAGCGGCAGCGGCAGCGGCAGTGGCAGCGGCAGCAACAGCACCGAGCATGGTGGCGGCCAAGGATCATCCGGACTACCAGAAATACTTCAAGATGCTCAAGATGGGGCTACCGCGGGGGGCGGCGCTTCAGAAGATGGCAACTGAAGGCAAGGACCAGGCGATCCTCGACACGCCGGACGCTATGCTCCCGTTGGCAGAGACTGAGGGTGGAGCGGCAGCGGCAGCGGCAGCAACAGCACCGAGCATGGTGGCGGCCAAGGATCATCCGGACTACCAGAAATACTTCAAGATGCTCAAGATGGGGCTACCGCGGGGGGCGGCGCTTCAGAAGATGGCAACTGAGGGCAAGGACCAGGCGATCCTCGACACGCCGGACGCACTCGTACCTCTTGCGCCAGCCCCCTCCCCCGCCACTGATGCCACCCCAGGCAAGGGGATCCCAACGCCGCCGCTGTTGCCAGGAATGGGCGGAGGAATACCGCCGCCGCCGCCGTTACCTGGAATGGCCGGAGGAATCCCCCCGCCACCGCCGTTGCCAGGAATGGCCGGAGGAATCCCGCCGCCACCGCCGCTACCGGGAGCAAGCGGAGGAATCCCGCCTCCGCCGCCGTTGCCAGGAGCAAGCGGAGGAATCCCGCCTCCACCGCCGTTGCCAGGAGCAAGCGGAGGAATCCCGCCTCCGCCGCCGTTGCCAGGGGTGGGCGGAGGAATCCCGCCGCCGCCACCGTTACCAGGAATGGGCGGCGGCGGGGGCATCCCGCGGCCGCCGCCGATGCCGGGATCGGGCGGCGGGGGCATCCCGCCTCCGCCACCAATGCCGGGGATGGCGGGGCGTGGTCCCCCCATGCCGCCCCCGTTGCCCGGGATGGCCCGGGGACCTGCAGGGCTCCCACCCCCGCCGCCGCTTCCGGGCATGATGGGTAGGGGGCCGCCGGCTTTGCCCCCTAGGGGGCCCGGCGGGATGGCGCGGCCGCCGCCGCGGCCGGCGGGGCCGAAGAAGCCCAAGGACAAGCGGCGGAAGCTCCACTGGAAGACCATCCCTCACGCGCGGCTGCAGAAGACGGAGAGCATCTGGATGGAGGTGAGAGCTAGCTTTGTGTCAAGTCAAGGGTTGTTTACACAAGCATCGAGGATAAGGGAGAGCGCGATGTATATGGCGTGCGGTCGTACTTGTCGTGGAGTGTGAGGAAGTCAAGTGCCGTGGCGACGTAGTTTGCTCTGGAAGAGGAAGTACGTTGCGAACGCACATAGCGTACGTTGGTGAGAGTCGGCGCAACGTCGGCAGATAAGTTTTCCTCTGATGATGATCGCGACGGCGGCAGCAGAGGGGGCATGACGCGGTCGGAGGGAGGCCGCAGAAATGACGTGCGGTGATTGTTGTCCGCTCGACGTTCCGGGTTGCGGCCGGCCTAAGCTCGATCTTCCCACCCTGCTGATCGTTAGCACCAATTGTGGACCCGCTCGGCGTTTTTCCAGATTGACTGCTGTGGTTGAGCGGGTAATGCGATGGGCGCGCACTGGGATATAGTGCGAATGCGCGCGGCGCTGCTGTCCAACTTAATTTTACTCAAGGTGTATGTACCACTACTCACTCTGTTTTTTTCTCTTGTTGCCTGCCGGCTTGACTTCTGCTTCTGTTGTTTTTGTGTGCCTGCCCCGTCCCACAACGTCAGACGGAAGTAGCCACCGACATCCAGATCGATCTCGAAGAATTCGAGGAGCTGTGGGTCGAGAAGGCGGAAAAAGTGGCCCCCAAGAAGAAGGTACAGCGGTGGTTTGGGGGGGGGGGGGGGGGGTACTCATAGTCGTGCATGCCGTAGTCGTTTGACCATTGACCTCGCATCCCTACAAAGCCGGGACGGAGCACGACGGGTTCTCACGGGACCAGGCTCTCGCATCACCAAGCGCGGAGCGCCGTGAGGTATTCGGCGAGTCGCATGAAGGGTGAGCCGCATCCTGCTAAGGGTGTTCGGCATCTTGTGCTTACTTCCTTGCGTACGGATGACAGCTGCGTATGACTTAATTTATTTTCTGGTGCTTTCACTTCCGTAGACAGTTGTAAGCACTGTGTAACTGCCTCGAGAGTGCTCGACCAATTTAAGACAACGTGGTGCGATCATCCCCTTTGCGCGGAGTGAGGGTTCTCGACCCCTCACAACAAAATCAACTCGATCACCATTCATGGTTACCGCAAAAACACCGAAGGCAAGAAAACAAGCTGCAACCCGGTTGCCGAGCTCACGAAGTGATTGGCTTGTTTTACAACATCGCTGCCAAGCGACGAAAACCCAACCCCGATGGCAAACACCGGCGGGGGGGAGTGGTTTATGTGGGCCGTGATATCGTTGGTGCTAGAGTTAGACGGCGCGCGACTGCCCTTAACGCGGGGGATCCTGCAGTGTGTTTGCCGGGCTGGAAAACCGAGCATTTGCGGCCAGTGTTTGCTTTTGTGCATGTCGCCTGCTGCTACATTTTCTGTTCTACCGTCATCAGTACCCAGGATGACATTTTTTTTGTCGATATGGTATGCTTTGTTTTTTTGTTGCGACGAAAGGAGGCAAGACGTGTTTTTTATTGTTCCCCTCTGCGTACGAGGGCAACGCGCAGCTGTCGAGCATTGCGCGCGCATTCCGTTGGTTCGAGGGGACACACGAGGCCGGCAGGAGCGTTCCATCGCCGCGCCTCATCTATCCTACCCTTTGTGTCACGCATGCGTGACAGCACGACGCCGGCGCGCCGAAGGAGAGCGTACGGTGCGAATATGAGATGAGCAGATGCAGAGTCGTGTCGTCAAATTCTGTTCGCCTCGAACGTCGGCAGTGTCTCCGGCAAAAGGAGGAACGATGCTCCCCTGTCTAGAGAGAGAAATGACGGCGGCGGAATGATCGATTCTAGAACATGGAGACGAGTACACCCTCCGCCCCGCCCCCCGCCCCCCTCTTCCGCTCCTCTTGGTGGTATTTGATCGTCGATCAGCTGGATGAGGCGAAGAAGAAAGACGTGAAGAAGGAGGCGCCCAAGGAGATCAGCCTGCTGGACGGGAAGCGCGCGATGAACACGTCCATCGCGATCGCCCGCATCAAGATGACCTACGCTGAGACCCGCCAGGCGGTCATGAACATGGACGAGACCGTTCTGTCTTCGAACGTGCTCCAGTCGCTTCAGGTGCTGTAGTGTAGGCGACGTGCTTGTTTGCTTATCTGTCTGTGTTCCCAGGCGTCGGGTCTGTTTCCGATAGTTGGTTGGTTTGGTGGGCCATGGCAGCGGATTAGCTGTTGCTGCTTTCTCGGCGGAGTATTCCTCCCCCCCCCTTGCAAGAATCTGAGTCTTGTCTCTTCCTCTTCCCCCCCCCCCGCCCTCTCTCCCTCCATCGCTCCCTCCGTTCTTCTCTGTTCTCTTTCTCCGCCTGCCTGTCTGTCTGTCTGTCTGCCCGTCCACCCTGTACCTGCCATCTCCCAGGAATTCATGCCGACGACAGAGGAGGAAAAGACCCTGCTCAACTACAACGGCGACCCAGCCTTGCTCGGAAACGCGGAAAAGGTTCGTTGTGCGTCGTCGTGTGCGCCGCGCGTGCGCATGGTTGTGTAGCGCTCGAGAACCTAATGTTTGGTTCCGATCGCTGCCCTCAATAATATTAGTGCCGGCCAAGCTCGCAGGCACGCTACACACCGGGGACGAGGTCTGACGAAGGTATGAAACAGCTTGGCTGCTACATTATCTGCGTCACCCGGTTTCACGGGAACTACGGCACCGGGCACCGGCCCTGATGAACCGGCACAAATGAGGGAGTAACCCCCCCGCCGCCGCCGCACGGCAATGTTTCCGCACTTTTGCCTTATTTGGCGAAGAATTGCGCGGAAACGGTTGAAATGGTTGGTGTCTTGCCGTAAGATGGAGATGCCTCATTTGTATTGGAGTGGGAACACTTGGCTCTTTGTAAATGGGCATGCGTGGTCAACCTGGGCCCTAACGAGACCCGCAATAAATGCTTACCCCCCCCCCCCCCCCTGCGTTCGGCCACTCTCGGCTTCGTACCTTGTCGATATATGTCAAAAGTTTATGCTGGAGATGATCAAGGTGCCGAAGCGCGAGCTGCGTCTCAAGGGCATGCTGTTCAAGCAGCTGCTCCAGGCTAGGCAGGACGACATGCGATCCATGGCCGGGCTTATCAACTCGGCGTGTCTGGACGTGAGGCTCAGCCGGCGCCTGAAGAAGCTCTTGGGAATAATCCTCAAGCTCGGGAACCAGCTCAATGAGGTAGGTGCCCAGGGCGCTGTTGTTGTTGTCGGCGCCGGCGGTGTCAGTGGCGAGTAGGGGGGCGGTGAAAGTTGTGGTTGCTGCTGCTTCTACTGCTGCTGTTGGTGTTGATGCTGCTGCTAGGTTTTGTTGCTGGTGGTCTTGGCGCGGTACTTGCTGCTTCTTTGGTTGTTGTTGTTGTTGTTGTTGTTGTTGTTGTTGATATGCAGTGGCGTGTTCGTCGGGGCTGCATTTGTCATGAGCCATTGAGTTAAATGCTTGTGGTTTGTCGTCTTCGCCGCTGTTTCGTGATTCGTGTCGTTGCCGTTGCTGTTGCCGTTGCCGTTGCTGGTGGTGTTGCGGCCGTTGTTGATGCCAACCGCGCTTCCTTCGCTCCCGCCGCTGGTTGTGGTTTGCGCGTGACCCAGGGTCAAACCACGGGGTTCACCCTAGACTCGCTCCTCAAGCTCAACACCGCAAAGGCGTTCGACAAGAAGACAAGCATCCTGCACTACCTCGTCATGCTCGCCAGGAGGAACGATCCCACGCTCCTCGACTTCAAGGATGTGAGCGAGCAGAGAGCAGAGAGAGAGAAGAGATTAGAGCGTCAGGCGAAGAGGTGGTTCGCACGTGGATGTAGGTTTCTTTTTGTTAGTGAATGGGCGGATAGGTTTCAGAGACCACAGTACAATCGATGGATGAGGTAGACCAAGAAGGGCCACTGCTGCTCCTGACCTTGGCGGGCACTCCGCCCCACCCCCCCCCCCACCCCCCAACCCCCGATTCCCCCCCCCCACCGTTACCTGCCCACCCCCCCCCCCCCCCCCCCCCCCAAAAAAAAA